TCCCTACACTACACATCCTACAAACTAAAAAGTATTTCTCAAGTGACAGCACAGACTTCAAGTGAGTCAAATAACACTTTCCTAGGAAAATTATAGAGTAGTCTAATATCTGAGGGGGTTCTGTTACTTCTTTTACTCCTTTGCCTCTAATGCTTTACCAGGCATTCACTGGTTTTACGTGTTGATTCTTCATTCATAATCAAACTCTTCAGCTCAAATCATATTACTCTGTTTTTGTATTCCTATCCTGTCCATCTGGAAGGCACAGTATAAATGTATGCAAAGAGAAAACTGCCTTGCCAGCTTGTAATCTGCTGTCTTTGATAGTAGGTCAAATAAATTTTTCATTAGTGAAACAAGCTTATTAAAGCCAAACAGTTTGACACTTATAGGATTACAGTGAACCCTGGTTTCAGTTTCACCTGGTAGCCTATTAATATGAAAAGCATTATTTGACAAATCATTGATAAACAACAATTCATTAAATCATTAAAAATTAATTTTTACTTTTGTGGTCGTATTTTTAGAAGTTGGGATCAGGACACTGTGTACTACCAATTGTCAATATTTTGCTGCTAATTGGAAGGGGTTGTTCCAAGAATGGGTTTGCTTGGCAAATGCCAGCATGCCGCTTCTGCCCTTTGATTGCTCTTGGTATTTCACTTGGAATGTGTAATTTCTATTGCTGCACATGCCAAATGCTACACTCAAAGTGTGGGCTGGATTCTTGCAGCCAAGATACAAACTTGGTGACAGTGTTTAAACTGATGAGGCACAATAACAGGTTAAGTACTACAGGATGGAACTTGGTAGGTATTTAAGAGCCCTAAACAGCAATTAGACTCTTTCAAAAGTTCCATAGGGCAACTCAATGTTTAATTGCCAGTGATTAATGTAAATTATACTTTTAAAAGTATATGGATACCTGAAATCAACATAAGTCCATTCTGCTACAAAACAGAAAACACTATGAAATCCTCCTTTTTCCTCTTATGATCTGCTGTATATGAAGAATATACAATTAAACTGAATGATTATTAGAGAATTATTTGTTTGCAGGAATTCCAGTAAGAACAACTCTTGATAACTCTACAACAGTCCAGTATGCAGCTCTTCTTCAGCAGCTCGTCATGAAAGCTAGGAGCACAGTACGAGATATTGACCCTCAGAATGATCTAACCTTTCTTAGGATTAGGTCAAAGAAACATGAAATTATGGTAGCTCCAGGTAATATTTCTATTAAAATAACAATAGAATTGTATGTCTTTTTAAGTTTGGGTTTTATTCTTTATGAAGAAAGCTACTGTAGAAAAATTCTATTTTTGAAAATACATGTATGAAAACATAACCATGTATTCACCATGTCCCCACATGCATTAAGATTTTAATGTCCAGACTTCATATTATTCAAGTTCAGAAACAACCAAGCAAGTTTAGATCCGATTAATGTTCTGGTTTCTGTGGGTTTGTGCAAAGCAAAACTGGACAAATACATATATATCAAGCAGAGTGTGTCTATATTATTAAAGGCAGGAAATATTTTTTAGCTTGAAACAAATGCAAAAAAATAATCTTTTTTCTCCTAAAAATTGTTTTTTACTTGGTATGTTATGACATGCTAGCCACAGGTAGCATTTGTGTCACAGATACACAGGATTTTCACCAATATAGTAACTGTGATACAATTATTTTCTTTAAAGCAGCCATGGGAATATAGTAACCTGTTACTCACAGTAAATATAAATACATGTTAATTTGTTAGTTGTGTCTCTAAAATAGGTAACAAGGCTAGATGAAACAGATGAAACTTTAAACTGAAAGAGGGA